TAACCAAACTTGGTATCCAGATTCTCCTAAGTCCGATAAATTATGAGTTTGTGTTTTTTTCTCCACCCCCCCGCATTTCGTGTTTTTTCCATAACTCCCGTAATTTTGAACTCAAATTGGGTTATTACAGTGATTAAGATTAGTGATTATGTGTCCGTATGTTTAGTTTCATTATGATGGGTCAGTTATGAAGAAAGTTATAGCCATAAATAAAATCGCTGCCCGCAGCTCTGCCCGCAGCTGTTGTTGTTGTTGCTGCTTTGGTTCAACTTTGTGCTGCATACATACACGCATAGACACGACTCTGATGTAAATTTATTCTATTGAAATTGTACATAAACACTTATGTATGTATGCATGTGTTGAATATTTTATATTTAATTTAATTAATTAATTGAATTAATTACGTTTTTTAAATAATTTTTTTTAATTTCCCTTTTTTGTGCAGAATACAGGGTATTTTAGTGTCGGGCTTGCTTGAAAGTAGCGTTCTATCTTGTTTTTAAGGTATTTTACTCGCAGTATAGTATGCCAGCAGTTACTGGTGCTGGAAAAGACCCGCCATTAGGTTAAAGGAGGACACGGACAGTGTTAGGGATTTTGTACTCTCTGTGTGATTTTTATAGCCTGTACCCAAAGGGTGAAAGGCTATACTAGTTTTGTGCGCATGTATGTAACACACAGAAGGAGGCGTGGCAGACCCCACAAAGTATATATATTCTTGATCAGGATGAGAAGCCGAGTCGATATAGCCTTGTCCGTCCGTCCGTCTGTCCGTCTGTCTGTCCGTCTGTCCGTATGAACGCAAGGATCTCAGAAAGTATAAGAGCTAGAATAACCAAACTTGGTTTCCATATTCTCCTAAGACCGAGAAAGTACGAGTTTGAGTTTTTTTTCGATGCACCCCCCCACTCCCCCGCAATTCGTGTTTTTTCTTATAACTTCCGTAATTCTCGGAATTTTGAAATCAATTTTGGTAGGTACATCCAGTTAGTACTAATGTGTCCGTGTGCCAAATTTCATCATGATAGGTCAATTCTGAAGAAAGTTATAGCCATAAGTAAAATCGCTGCTCATGCGCTGCCTCTGTCGGCACCGCTGCCCGCAGCTATTGTTGTTGTTGCTGCTTTGGTTCAACTTTGTGCTGCATACATACACGCATATAAACACGCATAGGTACGTGATGTAAATGTATGCTGTTAAAACTAAACATAAACATATATTCTAATTTAATTTAATTAATTAATTCATTAATTTTTTTTAATAATTTAATTTTTTTTTTAAATTTTTTTTTTTTAATTTTTCTTTTTTTGTGGAGAGTACAGGCTATTTTACTGTCGGGCTTGCTCGACTGTAGCGTTCTATCTTGTTAGCAATAGCTATTTGAACACTGCACTAATCTTGCTGTTGACAATCCGGTTTTAAAATGTTGTTCGTATGTACACTATGTATGTATACATGTACATACTAGTATATGTGATGGTCTGATGTTGTACTACAGCAGTTGCTGAATTTCCAGTTTTATGAAGATAAACTTATTTACAATACATATTGTTCTTGTCGCTGCGCATAAACACTATTCTGATGTAAATGAATTATACGGGACTTGTTCGACTGCAGTCTTGTTCGTGGAAATATTATTTAATTACAACATTTTGGCATCGCTTCTATAGATACTGATATCAAATTTACATACCCAGAGTAGCGTGACATCCCAAACAATAAAAGTCAACATACAAGGAGTGTTCCAAAGTAAACAGGACTTTAAAAAAAAAAAAAAAAAAATCAATATATTTTATTCAAAATAGTCTCCTTCTGCTTCAATACAGCTTTTTCACGATCCAAAAGCATGTCGAACGAGTGTTATAGCTTGTTGGTTGGTGGCTAATAGAAACGCTTTTCTACTCGCTACTCGGTGGAATGCAAAATATTTTGCAGCTTGTTTTGTGCAACAGAGGAAAAAATTGTTTATGCATATTCCACCAAGCCAAAGCATTCAAATCAGCTGTGAATGCAACATTAATATTGGAATAACTGGCAATTTCCTTTTCTACCTTGTCTTTTATTGCTTCAACTTGGTGGACCTCTACATATTCAGCAAGAGTAGAATAACTAGGGTAAATCGAATATTTTCCGTCTGTCAATTGTTTTATTCCGTTTTACGTTTCATTTATTTTAACTCGAGTTATTCCCGAAAAGCAGCACTGAGCCTGTCCCGCGCGGGATATTTAACGTTGATTTAAAAATCGGCACGTCGGACGTCTGGCAACGCTAATATGTACATACATACATATGTACATTTTATTTTTTGATGCAGGCGCTATCTCATATGCATGTACATACATATCAATATGTACATATACAAGTATATAAGTGTATTCAATGGATATGGAATAGGCTTAACGCTTAATGTCTCCCAGAATTCTTCAGAATACATTTGTAGCGTTGTTTGCTGACACAACCTTTTAACATAATGGGCAAATCGCTTTTTAATATGCGATCGGCTGAGATTCTAGAGATGTGTCGGTTTTTTCGGCCCGTCACAGCGGGATTAGGTATTTGCCTGTGAAAATACACGAATCCCACTGTGCATACGGATACACAAATTTTTCTTCGTAAATCGAATAATTAGGAGAATGTCGATATTTAATTTATGGTTGTATACATGTGTATATGGTAGTCCAATTTTAAGGACCGACATATGTACATTGTTCGTAAAATATTAATTTATTTATGTTATTTTTTGGCTATGTGCTCCAAATCCCTTGCTTTTTTCAACAATAAAATACATGTACAAGATGTGTTCCAAAGTAAACAGGACTTAAAAAAAAAAAAAACAACAAATGGTTTTTTCGGCAACATTAATTTTATTTTATTCAAAATAGTCTCCTTCTGCTTCAATAAAGCTTTTTTTTTATTTATGTCCTCACGACCACTTTGAAACCACTCGTGCACTCTGCTACGGGATAGGCAATCATCGCCATAAACTTGTTCCATCAGTTGAAACGTTTCGGTAAAAGTTTTACTAATTTTAAAACAAAATTTAATGTTGGCTCTTTGTTCGAAGCTCATTTTCGCACCGATAACACAAACATACTGACACTTAAAACGCAATAACTTCAATTCCAATTGATGAAATGTCATGAAATTCTCACTGGACCATCGATAAAGATAGCAGATTCTAACGCACCAGTCGACATATAAATAGCGCCACCGGGGGGCGCTAGATACCTAAATTATTTTAGTTTTTTTCACAAAATACAAAGGTCAAAGGCGTGGCGAGGGTTGAAAATAAAATGTTTGGGGTGTCTTATAATTAAGGTAAGCACCTTAGATGAAGCTATAAGGGAAGAAACGGGCCGTACATATGACTGCCTAGCACGAACGAGCGCTCGGTTTCTGCAGGCCGGATCGTACAACTGCCGCTGTCAACGACGAACCACCGCCGGCGCACTCGGCCCATGGCCTGTGCCAGAATTAATTAACAAATTTAATTAAATATAAAATATTCCATACATACTTTTACATTTACATCAGAATCGTGTCTATGCGTGTTTGTGTACTTGTACATAAGTATGTGTGTGTTACATATTTATGTCAATGCAGAAACAAATACAGCTGCGGACACAGCTTGAGCCTGGTTATATGGCTATAACTTTCTTTCTAATCAACCTATCATAATGAAACTTGGTATACAGATATATAATCACCAACTGGATGTGACTACCATTTTTAGTTCAAAATTCTAAGAATTACGGGAGTTATAGAAAATCTTGAATAGGGGGTAGTGGGGGGTGCATCGGAGAAAATGAACAAACTCGTCCTTTCTCGGGCTCAGGAGAATCTGGATACCCAGTTTGGTTATTCTAGCTCTTATACTTTCTGAGATCCTGTCCAGACGGACAGTCAGGCGGACATACGGACATGGCTATATCGACCCGGCTTGTCATGCTGATCAAGAATATATATACTTTGTGGAGTCTGCCACGCCTCCTTCTGTGTGTTACATACATTCGCATAAAACAAGTACAACCTTTTACCCTTTGGGTACAGGCTATAAAAATTAAATTAATTAATTAAATTAATATAAACAATTTATTTAATACATACATACAGAATACATGTTCATGTTCAGTTTTAACAGCATACATTTACATCACGTGTCTCTGCGTGTATGTATGCATCACAAAGTTGAACCAAAGCAGCAACAACAACAACAGCTGCGGGCAGCGCTACAAGCAGAGCATGGGCAGCTATTTTATTTATTTCAAAATTGAGCTATCATAATGAAACTTGGCACATGACCACTAACTGAATGTAACTACCAAAATTGATTTCAAAATTCCAAAAATTACGGAAGTTATAAGAAAAAACACGAATTGCGGGGGAGTGGGCGGTGTATCAGAATAAAAAAAATAAACTTGCCCTGCCTAGGACGTAGGGGAACCTCGATACCAAGTTTTGTTATTCTAGCTTTTGTACTTCCTGACATCCTTGCGCTCGTCCAGGCGAAGGGACAGACGTACATGGCTATATCGACTCGACTTGCACCCCGATCAAGAATGTACTTGTAAATACTTTGTGGGGTCTGCCATGCCTTCTTCGCACAAAACTACATATTATAGCCTTTTACCCTTTGATGAAATTAAATTAATAAATTGGTGCATCACAAAGAGCGACATTAGCTTCTTCTTTCACAGTTTGGTTATTGTACCTCTTACACTTGATAATTTCCTTGCGTTCCTTCAGGTGGATATTTCTAAATCGACTCGTCTTATAATGCTGATCGAGAATAAATACTTATACTTTGGGCGGTCTGCTATGTCTACTTCAGTGTCTTACATGTACACTAGCACTAAACTAGTATACTTTTTTACAGTTGGGGTAAAAAAAAATCAAATATTAATAATAAATTAGGAGCACAAAAACACTTCTACAACTCTCAGGAGTGAACTTTCAGTTCTAAGCCATATAAATAAAACAAAACTTTATATTTTTAGGGTTCACCCCTTTTCGCCATAAGACAAAAAATTGTGGCATCTGAATCAACAGAAGGAACAGTTTTCCTCTTGGGTCCATTAGATTTCGAAAAGCAAGCAATGTACCACCTGACAATACTGGCCAACGTAAGTTGATTATATAGTAGTACATATAGTAAGCTCTGATTATGAAACGTAAATTTCATTAAAGGATGCCTACGCTGAGCCTGGGCAAGATACTCGTAACATAGCAGGTATGGATATAGTTGTTATTGTACAGGATGTACAAGATCAAGCGCCCATTTTCACAGTGGCTCCACCTGTAACAAAATTATTTTCTGGTATTCTCCCTGGGGATAAGGTAATTATTAAATTATAAAAAGAAAATATTTTTTATTAAAATTAAAATGTGCAGATTTTACAAGTTCATGCAGAAGACGGCGACAAAGGTAATCCTCGAGATGTGCGATATGGATTAGTTTCTGAAGGCAACCCATTTACTTCATTTTTTTACATTAACGATACCAGCGGTAAGTATTTCTGAATAATTGAATAAAACGTCTTTACATGATTATTTATACACACATACGTATTTAGTACCAGATTGTATCAAAAGCAATAAAACATTTATTTTTACCGCTCTTATGGCTCTTAACCCTTAATTAATGAAAAAGATAACAAGAAAGAAGAACTAGTCAATATTGTAATTCATAGTTATTCTGCCAAGCTCGAGAAAAAAATTAATGTTTCTTCTAATGCTGTCTTACCCAGGGGACAATAATACGCGACAAAGTTTTGTGGATACAACGTCTATAGCTCGGCGGCTTTTACTTATGCTATCGTATCCTATATTATTGCATTCTTATCTTCTACCATGTGTGCGTAGTAGTAGTAGGTAGCTCATGTTGGTCAACCGCAGCATGCTCATCCGACGCGGTGGCGAGTGATTTGTGTACCTGCACATCCTTAATTAGGTGTAGGTGCTATCTTCGGCTCTCTACCTTAGATAATAATGAGTTCGGCCTCAGACGCCGAAGATAGCACCTACACCTAATTAAGGGTGTGCAGGTACACAAATCAAATATATATATATATATATATATATATATATATATATATATATATATATATATATATATATATATATATATATTTGATTTGTGTATATATATATATATATATATATATATATATATATATATATATATATATATATATAACTAATATTTTTTAAAGCTCGTTTTCCCCCCTTTGGAGCTAGAATTTTCCAAAAGCCTTTCTTAGTGTGCTCCTTCACTATGATGGATACTATGAAAGGATACTTGAGTCCAAATTTCATCTTCTACCGTTTGGGCTGTGCGTTGATCACCAATTCATCAGGACAAACTGTTTTATATATAGAGATAACGCAACGTTTTAAGATAGACTATGTGCAAAAAAGGGTATTATAAGGGTATATCATAATTTTAAATTCTCATTTGAGTCTTTTCGTGCCATATTGAGTCAATACGGTCACGCACAAACTCGGAATATGAAACACGGCACTCGTGTCAATGACGTGCAACGATGAGCCACGATCAAAAAGCACTGACAAAACAAGTTTATGGCGATGATTGCCTATCCCGTAGCAGAGTGCACGAGTGGTTTCAAAGTGGTCGTGAGGACATAAATAAAAAAAAAGCTTTATTGAAGCAGAAGGAGACTATTTTGAATAAAATAAAATTATTGTTGCCGAAAAAACCATTTGTTGTTTTTTTTTTTTTTAAAGTCCTGTTTACTTTGGAACACATCTTGTACATGTATTTTATTGTTGAAAAAAGCAAGGGATTTGGAGCACATAGCCAAAAAATAACATAAATAAATTAATATTTTACGAACAATGTACATATGTCGGTCCTTAAAATTGGACTACCATATACACATGTATACAACCATAAATTAAATATCGACATTCTCCTAATTATTCGATTTACGAAGAAAAATTTGTGTATCCGTATGCACAGTGGGATTCGTGTATTTTCACAGGCAAATACCTAATCCCGCTGTGACGGGCCGAAAAAACCGACACATCTCTAGAATCTCAGCCGATCGCATATTAAAAAGCGAATTGCCGATTGTGTTAAAAGGTTGTGTCAGCAAACAACGCTACAAATGTATTCTGCTGAATTCTGGGAGACATTAAGCGTTAAGCCTATTCCATATCCATTGAATACACTTATATACTTGTATATGTACATATTGATATGTATGTACATGCATATGAGATAGCGCCTGCATCAAAAAATAAAATGTACATATGTATGTATGTACATATTAGCGTTGCCAGACGTCCGACGTGCCGATTTTTAAATCAACGTTAAATATCCCGCGCGGGACAGGCTCAGTGCTGCTTTTCGGGAATAACTCGAGTTAAAATAAATGAAACGTAAAACGGAATAAAACAATTGACAGACGGAAAATATTCGATTTACCCTAGTTATTCTACTCTTGCTGAATATGTAGAGGTCCACCAAGTTGAAGCAATAAGACAAGGTAGAAAAGGAAATTGCCAGTTATTCCAATATTAATGTTGCATTCACAGCTGATTTGAATGCTTTGGCTTGGTGGAATATGCATAAACAATTTTTTCCTCTGTTGCACAAAACAAGCTGCAAAATATTTTGCATTCCAGCGAGTAGCGCAGCTTTGGAACTCACATTTTCAAATGTTAGAAATTTAATAACAGAAAAGCGTTGTCTATTAGCCACCAATCCTGACACAATTAACCAATAAAAGTAAAATAAACACAAATGAAAATATAAATATCCATTTTTTACACAGTTTTTCTTGCTTCTTTACCGGTTTGCCATTCGAATCATTCGAAAACTACTGAGTGCGACTGAGTTGTACATGTGTATACTCATTCATTCATATCAGTTTGCCTCTGCATTCTAATTCACTCAACTCATTTTGAGCATTGTGCATTCGAATGTGGTTTTTTTACCATTCATGCAGCTGTCTAGTATGTAAGTATGTGCAATCAACGCACAGCCCAAATGCTAAGCGTTAAAAAGCTTCAAAATGTAGGTGAGCACCAAGACGTGGTTTTAGAAAATTAGAAATCCGATTAACTTTAAACTTGGTTTATTTACTCTGAGAAAGAATACAGAATAAACTGAGTTGTATATTTGTAACTTTTCATTTAAAAGTAGAAGAAATAATTATAAATAAATAAGTATGTACTAATGTACTAATGAACGTACATACAGCTTTTAATTCTAGCACCTGCCTTGAATATCACTGAAATACTACATACACAAATATGTATGTATGTACGTAAAACCATATTTACTGTACTTTATGTCCTAGCTGTACCAAAGTAATTTGCTATTTGGGAAATGAAATAAACTTTAGAGAGTGTCAAAAGAAAAATATCACATAATAAACTGATCCTCTTGCCATTTTTGTTTAAACTTAAGAAAAAAGTATTCAATAATATTTAAACAGTTTAATTTGTCGCTAGACAAAAATAGAATGAGAAACTAAAGTGTGCGGCTATAGTTAGCATGCTCAGCATGCTCATCCGACGCGGTGGCGAGTCTGAGCTAATGATTTGTGTACCTGCACATCCTTAATTATTGAGCTGCCGCCTGCCAGCTACGAAAATGTAGGTGCTATCTTCGGCGTCTGAGGCCGAACTCATTATTATCTAAGGTAGAGAGCATGTCTCCCCACCTTGAAAGGACTCCCTTTCAACTAGTTATATATATATATATATATATATATATATATATATATATATATATATATATATATATATATATATATATATATATATATATATATAGCTATATATATATATATATATATATATATATATATATATATATATATATATATATATATATATCTTATCCTAAAAACAAAAAATTATATGTCATCATGTACAATTAAAACTAAACACATTAAGAAATACAATACCTATCCAGATTTGCATGAATAATTATATTCCATGATGCCCGCGTTAATCCCACGCCGTCAACGTTCTCAAATGTCCCTGCCTTATTTCCTAAATATTATATTTTTTGACTGTTGACATTGTTAAATATCGACAAAAATGTTAAAATATATCAAATTACATTCTTATATAAGTATAAGGATAACTCGTCTTCGGGAGGAAAAGGACCAACAATGTGCACCGACCTTAGTGATTTTCCATTGCATGTCCTTTCCATTCTGCAAAGGCCATTTTTGCATACAATGGGCTTTGTGACCCTGCCCTTCTTCCAATGCATTTGGATTTTCTGCTTTTAATAAGACAAGTGTTCCCGGTTTTAAATTTTGCATTACTTTGTCCCACTTGTAACGCTTTTGTAATTTGGACAAATATTCCAACGACCACTGTTTCCAAAACTGTTCTTTGTTTTCTTGAACTGCCTTCCAGTGATTTCGCAACCCTTTTTAACTTTTACTCTCTATCGAGTCTAATATTGTAGAAAAAGACTCTCCTAATATACAAAGGCCATGGGATTAGATCCTGATGATTATTTGGATCTTCTGATACCGGAGGTAGTGGTCTTGAATTTAAAATCGCGTCTATTTCTATCATTAGAGTAGACATTTCTTCAAAAGGTCATTGTTCCTTCTAAAGAACGAGTAGAATGCATTTCAACGTATACTCCCCAGAGTCCCCCAATGTAGGGAGATTTAGCAGGAATATTTACCCATTCAATTTGCCGCTCCACAGAAAATTTGTCTATTGCATCTTTCTAAATTTGGTCTTTGAATAAATTATATATTTCATTCAGACTATTAGCTGCACCTATTTTGTTTGTTCCAAATTTGTTCCATTGTCGCAGTACATTTTTGTGGACAGCTCCTTCTACCTACAAATCTTTTCAGAGCCCCTACGAAGGCTGCAGAAGTCATATCTGAAACTACTTCTAAATGCAAAACAAACAAACACACACACATAGGCCTTGTTAACTCGTTTCCTTCTTATTTTTTGTGAATATCTATTGGACCGTTCCAATATTCAAGAACGGGTGGGTTCGAATTACTCGATCTTCTGGCAGGATTCCTGATGGGATTGGGTGTGCCTTAAAACAGCGGATATAATTTTTTGCAATTTTGTTTACTATTTCCTTTCCTTTCAAGGGCCAACACCGTTGCCTAATTATTGCAAGTAACCTTTGAGGTACTATGTGTAAATGTTTTTTATGAAGGTTAGTTACTAGGAGGTCCACCCATTTATCTGCATATCGCAAAAGAACTGAATGTTTTTGTGAATTTTGAATTCGTCCTCCTACTCTTATTACCCCTTTGTTATCTAGGAATGGCGCCAAGGACTTCATTGGTTTTCCTGGGTAGTCCTTTTTATTTTGCAGAATAGACAACTCATTTGAAAAATGTAACAGGCAGAAGGGGGCATGGCAGACCCCACAAAGTATATATATTCTTGATCAGCATGACGAGACGAATCGATCTAGCCCTGTCTGTCTGTCCGTCCGTCCGTATGAACACCCGTATCTCAGAGACTATAAGAGAGTCA